ATGCTTGCATAATATGAACGACTCTATTTTGTCATATTCGACAACAACACAACTTAATATGCTTTTGAGACATTTTGCATATGAAAAAGACGCGTTATTTGGTTTATGTCCATCTGCAGGTTGGGTTGTGATAGTAAGAGGAATAACCAAAACTTGACATATATTTCATCTCATACACATTGTTTAAGAGGACATTTAAATTAAAGTCATATATATGTCCTCAATTATTCATTGTCTTCAAGTAAATACATTATAAACATATGTGTAGTTTGCCAAATGAATTAAAACAAATTAGAAATTGCATTGTGCAGCTGGGTTTCTCTCTCATTGATGTTTACCCCTAATATTGTTCCATTTGTCAGTTCATATCTCCTCTCCCTTATCCGGACAGATTTAAATGTTACTGTAATATCGTTTGTGTATTTGTTCTCGTCTTGAATAGGTTTTTGATATTTATCAGTGAACGATGACCAACCAAAAGAGTGACCAAAGTTATTTCAACTTTTTTTGTTGATTTTAAAGACATTTTAAATTAATTTGGGAAATCAGGTAAAAAGCTTTACGCCATATACAATGATAAATTCTTATATCTAAAAAAATAATCATTTATGCTTTTTCACAAATTCTACACAAATTAGCCGAGTGACCGTTTTGTTTTCAAAAGTCTCTTACCTAATGGCTGCTGTGCACCAACCTAACTCAATATTTACCATCTTGGCTATATTTAACCGAGAAGTTACATTGTTATTGCGCAACAATCACAAAAAAATTGTAATATCTTAAAAACCAATAAAATGATTGCTGTAAAAGCATAATGTGTGTGGGGGAGGAGGGGGGAGTCAACATTAATATGCCCAAAATAAAACAACAGATTCGTTGAAACTTCAGTTTTTACAGTTGTCCTAAATATCAGCATCTGCAAAAAGGGTTTATATTGCTTTTACATGCTTAGATAGAAAAATCGATTATTGTCATTGTGAGGTGAGGTAATTTTCAACACTCAAAGACGGTGTAATAAAGGTGTGAAAAAGGAATATGCAAGCAGCTAGATACAGTTAAGAGTATATTGTTCAAAGTCGAACTCGTGTACCTTTTTTAAGTCATGCTCCAATGACAATATGACATTTCTCCTAAATGGATGAGCAAAATTGAAATCAGTTTCTTGCGTTTTGAAGCACTTGATCGTCCTTTGCATGATAACAACAAACCAGAAATAATGATATCACTGTTTTTGTTTTAAAAATGTTCAAGAATTAGAATCTCGGTTTATATTTCAATGTGTACTATGTGCAATTACAAATCTTTTTTTTTAAACACAGTATACGGTAGTTGTTTTATCAAATATGACTGAAGATGATTATTGTTGATGATTGATTAAGGTTCGTGAACACTTGATATTTCCCCAAGTGTTAGGAAGGGTGACTTCTTATTTTACATTTTGGTGAATATTTTGTAAACTGTTTCTTTTTTGCGTTTTTGGTCATGGTGTTATTTGTTTTTCATCGACTTTTGGTTTGAAATTGTCATCTTAGTACCTTCTACCTTTTTTTCGACCAACGAATCAAAAGGAATACCACAGGCATGTTCCGTGTGCAAAAGACTCGTCAGTGGCGCTCTAATAAAAATAGGAAATTTAAATCAAATACGAAGTTTACTGACACAAAAAATAAAGCGGTTGTTCCAATTCCGGCTATGTATCTTTGGTGGTTAGATAATTCAACATTTTATCAACAGTAAATTAAAAGAAAATTTATATAAAATACACAATACACATTTTTTTGCGCGCTCAATAGTAATATACTAGTATATGGTCATCTCCAACTAATATTAATGAGGTCTACTGATAAAAGACCAGAGTCATCTGAGTCAGGGGTTGTTGCTGAAATGCAACTTATATACTGTTTCACTTAAGCTTCCACAACAGGACATACCTTTGCATCTGTTGAAAATATGTAAGTCTGTTTGTGCGCTCATAGTCCGCCCCTTAAAATATTATTTCAAAACCTTTTCATATACAATATCTGAACCTATTGCCGTCTATCTTTTCTTTGTTATGGTCCTCGGGAAAACATCAGGATTTTGCTCATTGTAGAGATGGATAACAAGCAGTAAAATATAAGTGGTTTGTTGAAAAACTTAACGATTTCTAATACTTTCTAGATGACAGATTATTTAAACTAGGATATCTTCCTGTAAAAAAATTATCAAAACAAATAGTTGTAAGAAAAAAAAAATACTATTTTCTTTTACATACTCTACAGAACTTCACTGTGAAAAAAACCCATTAAAATAATGAATAGATAAGAACTTCATAAACAAGTTTGAAGTTGAATGTGAAGACAGTTTAAACCATTGTCGTGACGTCAGCCTATACATTTGCCGTGGATTTTTTTTCTAGAATCAACGCTTCCCGAATCTGTCGCTGAAATGAGCTCACCAAATTATATTCAATTGTTTCCTTTGTGTGCCTAATTTCATCATGTTTGAATTTGCTAATTTACTGATTTCTGTTCACTTATGGAATTAATTTAAAAACTTACCTTCAATTTTTGTAACTTTTATATGCCATCACTGGGAATCGAACCCCTACTTGAAATCTGTTATGTGTGACTGACATCAACACATCCACGGAACCTCTCGGCTACCAATGGGTTGTTATTTGAATGTCTATTTTATATATATAAATGAACATAGGATACACATCGGTACAACGGACACACAGGACTTGTATCTTTATATATAGACATAATAGGCAATTGTATAGTATAATTCGGTAGCCACCAGGTAAACATGGTAAAGATAAAAAAAAAAACATGTTTCGATCAATGAGTTGAAGATTCAAGTTAAAGGTAGAAACTTGTCGGTTTAGGTTCGAATCCCTGTATTCTTTTTGATCTCTCTTTTCTTTAGTTTTTCCGTTTTTCTTATTTTGTATGTTATTGTGGATATTTTTGTAATAATAGCTGGTTTTCCTGTTTATTTGTGGATAATTATTGGCCAATTCAGGTATTTGGAAAAAAATGATTAACTTCAATTTATCAATTTTTGTTTTATATCTATATAGTATGATTTCATCTGTTTTACTACACATCTTTACAAATGTTTAATCGCAAATACCTGTGCGAGTAAATTGTGATGTGCCAATAGTTAGGGTTCTTGCTAGACATTTTGGTAACATACTTATTATATATACTTAAAAATAAATTCGAATATTGATTATTTTGTAAATTAAGGATAATATTCAGATGCATAATGATTTAAAGACGGACGTGTTATGTTATATTTGTATTTCCCTGACTAATTAATTGTGAACTTTGATTTATAAATGCATCATTGAACATGATAACATGGTTATTAATATTGACTTACAATACCTTCTAATTAAGAAAAGGCTTTAATTTTGAAAAGACATCAACACAATAGTTTAAGTAATAGATACAATGGATAAGCGTTGATTCATGAAAAACAAACCATTCGCCCTCCGGGCTCATGGTTTCTTTTTTCAAGAATCTACGCTTATTCATTGTATCTATATTACATAACGACGTCTGCTGACACCTAGACCAGACAACATGGAATTGAAGCCCATTAGGCACCGACCATTCATCGTTTGTGATTTTTTTAATCGGGACAGACAATTGTTTTGATCTCGACTTCAATCAAACACACAAACTTTTTTTCATAACATACAGGAACAAGCAAAATATTTGAAACTCAATGTTGAATTGATTTTTTCTCCTAATTTTCAATGGAAACTGACTTTTTGTTTTATTTCCAGTATGAAACAAATGATTTTTTTTTCAAGAAATTTAGAAATAAAGAATAAATTTGAAAAACCACTACCTCCCACAAAAGATGAAAGGACAATCCTTTGAAATCTCATAATATTAAAGCGGAGTGAGACCAGGTTTGTCGACGGATTAAGTATATTCTTCTGCAAGCATCACCTAAACGTTCTGCAGTAACTGTCGAAACTAAAAACTTTATTTTAACATTATGTTAAATGGCTTTAAATTAGAGGCAACATAAGTTTACCGATGTTTCAATCTCATTAAATTATTTAGAAGATACAAAGCGAGGTATAAACAAAAACTGAGGGAACTGCTTGAATTAAAAAAGAAGCGAGATCGGGTGCGTCGACAGACTAAGTGTCTCTTTCTGTGCATTCAACATGCGAAGTTTGTTAAATTAATGCTTGGTAGGACCCTTGTCATATCCCCTCTTTTTAAGATATATGGTAATTTAACGAGGTATATGTACATCTTTTTTTTCCTGACACCTGAATTATTGATATCTCTGTTGGTCTGTTAGTGCGCCCATAGTCCGCCTCTTAAAATCTTATTTCTAAAACTTTTCATCTACAATAGCTGAACCTATTGGCACACACTCTGTATAATCTTTAAAGGTTTTTTTATTAACTTGTGAATTTTGAACCTACCAAAATGACAACCACGGCTAACAACATATGGAAAGTTGAACCTAATGGCTTATGGCTTCATGTGAACATCAAAGAAACATCTAGCCTTCTCATTAAAAATCCCGTCATGATATATATCATATGATTATTCAATTACACAAATAAAATGTTTTATATGGAGGGTGATTATTTTCAGATGTTCCTTTTGTAAAGAATTTGTAACTAAAATACATCACAGAAGTTAACGGCAAATTTACTGTAGTCTTTGTTTATCACTTAAATATCAGGTTTTTAAAAACAAATTAAGCAAACTTTATCGTTATTTAATATTATTTAATTGTTTATTTCAAATAATTACAATGGGACGGAAAGTCAATGAGACCTTGAGAAAAATATATGTGTTTAAATGATTGAGTAAGACATTTCATTTTCTTTCAGTTCAGCTGGTAAAGTATAACTTTCTTTGATATTTACTTTTGTCGATGTTGATTTATCAATCAAATCGTCTGAACCATAACCATGTAATACATCAATATAAATGTCTAGATCTGTATTTAATGATTTAAAAATAATACGGTGTTTGCATGTGTAATATAAGGTACAAAAGACTTTTACAAATGCAATTTGGCGCAGTTTATAATTTTTGTAATGTCGTTCAATTACAGTATTCGCAAAGGTAAGTCTCGTTCCGTTATTTAAAATCAAACCGTATTTCTATTCATTAAACAGGTTTGTTGAGTTTATTTTTTAGTCTGTGTTAAATTCTTCAATTCTTTTTTTTAGATATCTTTTTCTACAGACGTTAGATAATTAGTTTTATTTACAAAAACTTGAAATTGGGGGGTGGGGGGGGGGGGGGTGGGGGGGGGGGGGGGGAGGGGGGGTTTTCGTAAGATATGAAAATACATCTAACGTCAAATTTGCCTGAGGGACTTGAAAACTTAGTTCCTTAATAATTTGTAAATTTCATTAAGCTGTTGCCTTATTTAACAAAAAGGAGTCACATATGCGTCGTTTAAGCTATATTATTTTCTATGTTTGTACGATCCAACCAATTGAGTTTCTCTACGCGCAAAGGCATGGATGGCATTAGGCAGATTTGACACAACTATGTAAGATTTCATTTTTACTTTCTTCAACTAAAACATTGATTTGGCCTTTTAATTGTATCCATTGAACGGTTGTAACTTCAGGTTTTTTGATATTCGATTATAATGTTAGATGAGCAAATTCAGAAGTATTATATAAAATGAATTTCCGGAAAAAAAGTGTAGTAAACTGAACAACTGTTCTTATATCTCAATAATAAATAATGTAAAAACTTTATATACAAATTCCGTTAAGTGGAAGGAAAACCATTTCATGGAGTTCATACATAATAATATATATACTTTCATCCATTCTAATAGTTTGTTCTTATGTTGTGCTGTTACATCACTGTCTCAGGTTAGGGAAAGGGTCGACGTATCCACAAACATAGTTTACCCCACCACATTTTGTATGTGCCTGTATCAAGTGTTTAATATAGTGGTTGTCTTTCGTTGTTGAATGTTATATTTGTTTGTTATTTATTGTTTAGTTCATAAATTAGACCGTTATTTTCTTTTATGAATTGTTTACTTGGGTTTTGCTCATTGTTTAAGGTCATACAGTGACCTATAGTTCCTAGCATTCTACTTCATTTTATTTAAAGTAGAGATATACCTCATTGGCATTCAGATCATATCTTTACCATTGTTTAATTTTCTATCATAATTCGATGTTGCAGAATAAAAAAAAAACTTTTGGTACTTTCATAGTTGGTACCCCCAAAATAACAAATAGTTTTAAATCTATTGTTAAGAACATTTTAAGACAATAAAAACGCTTTGGAAAATATGTCCATGGATGCATCATATACTCTAACAGCCAATTGAGCAAAAATATGGACGTGACGAAATATCATAATAAGGAGAAGTGGTATGATTGACAATGTGAAAACTATCCACCAAAGTTCAATTGAAGTGGATGTAAACAATTATAGGCAACCGTACAGCCTTCAATAATGAGAAAAATATGCAATATATATTTATATATATATAACTAAATACGTGTCTCACAAATAAATTTGATGGTATTATAAATTTGAAAAAAATCTAAATACTTTAAAAAAAAAAACCTCATTATTTTCGATCAATACCTTCTGATGAAGAAATTTTAAAGTTGGCTCAAATTTTGTTTATAATCAATACTTCAAGAAACCCATAACCTTTGTTCAACCTATTTTGTTTATTTTGTACATTGTTAACAGTTTATTCAATTCTATCCTTAGGCTATTTTCCTTGTACGAACTGGAGTGTTACTTAAATTAGAATATGTCATGGACTTTGAAATAATAACATCATTAATCAGTCTGCAGTGTAGCACTACTTTTCATGACATTTCGTTTTCCATTTTATAGAAACTATTGATAGAAATTATATATATATATATATTTAATAATTGACTGCAATTTTTATCCCTGTGATTTTATTTGTTGCGTGATAGATGGTTATTGATGATTTAGTTTCATTCTGTCTTATCTACTATTATTTGTTTAATAATCTTCAAAAAAAGTAAAAAAAAACCAAAATACCGATATCCGAGGAAAATTCAAAAGTGAAAGTTCGTAATCAAAAGGCAAAATCAAAAGCTCAAACACATCAAACGAATGGATAACAACTGTCATATTTCTGACTTGGTAGAAAATGGTTGATTAAACCTGGTTAGCTAAGTTATACCAAGTTGTTGCTACAAATGTATTTACTTATATATAATCGTCTTATAAACTGAACCTGTAACATTTGCATATGCTATTTACTAAAATGTCTTTCAATATTTTTTGTTTCCCTTTTTAAAGTATTTAAAAGAGATAGTCTTCTGTCTAGCGAACATAATATCTATCCTGGTATCATTGATGAGTTCAATTGCACAAAGGTTTTCTTCTTATGGGTATACTTAGCAACATAAATGTACAAACAACAAATACAGATCTCTACTTAACACTGAATGCAAAATACATAAAGTCTTGAGGAGAAACTAACGAAGCTTATTACTACGGACAGACACAAGGCAAGATAAGACAAGACAACTATATTCGTTTAAACCACTGTTTACACATTCATAACATTGGTACACAGAATAAAAAAAAAAACGACGAAAACAAACAAACCCTCATGTACAAAACGAGAGAATAGTTGTTTTTTTAATGTTGAAATCGAATACATTTTTCTACGTACATGCATAAATTGTTTTCAAAGGCGAATTATGCAAAGGTCATGATTGAATTAGATTTCCATCTAAAACAGTCCACCAGGGTGTTTTAGTTTGATTTCCTCTCCCTGTAAAAAAATATAACACATTGTGACGTCGTCCAACTGTTAATGTTTTCATGCGAACGATGTAGTACGCTGCATAGATTAATGAAGTATTCGCGTGACGTTTCTGTGAAAGTCAAATCGGACATAGTAAAACAAACGATCGCGAAACTAAAGTATCCAATCAGACAGGTAAAGTTTACTCTGCTTTTCTCTACCAAATTAATATTAAGGTGAATTTAATCTTTTAGGAAGGTAAAGGGTCAACAACAAAAACAGCGCTACATTAAAACCTAGTGACAAGGTTTTGATTCTTGATGCGCGAAATTTGATTGCCGTGAAAAATAAATCTTTTTACACTACCAGGTTTAAAATCGGTGTTTATAACAGCTTCTTTTCACTTTTCACAGGATTTATTTTCTTGGTTTCGGCTTTGTTTCTACCATGTGTGACAAATAGTAGAATGTTTTCAAGGAAGCCTGTTAGGTTTAAGCAGTTTTGTACAGATGGTTATGCTCATGATAAACTTTCCCCTGATCCATACCCATTTACCTGTAAACCTGGGCCAGGTAGAAATGTAAAATGCCAGAATATTCGTATGTATTTTGCCAATTTTTATCTTTAATAGTAATTAAAAAATATTGAATTGATACAAATTCAAAATGTTTGATATAAAAAAAGCAAGTACAATAAACATAAACTAGTTAAAGGTAAACAGCATTAAGTTCCTATCTACCAATGATATATAAGGCTCTGATAAGGCATATATGCTTTACTTTCAAATATACATTCGAATTGACTATTGTCTGTTATTGTTTGAAAAGATTTTATTTTTACGAACAATTATTTGAAATATGAATTTCAGCTCAAATATCACGGCATGGCCTGTTCACATTACAGGGACGTCATCATTAGTGCTCCTTACACGTAAACTACTACAGCAGAGATATGAGGAAGAAAAACTGAATTATCACGATCGGCCTTTCAACTCACTAGCGACATGTTTTGGTAGTCTTACATACTACTATAATCGTCAAATTTGTGTCTTATTCTCGACTTGGATATATTTACTGACTGTTAATTCGCAAAGCAAGTGATGCATGAATAGTAGGGGACGCTTAACCCGTCGACGCATCGGCTTTCGCTACAACAAAGAAGGAAACAAATGATTTGTTAACAGTTTTGATAGACAGATAATCGAGAAAATGCGTACTGGATTAGAATATATATTCCTTTAATCTTACATAAACTGTCTGGCTCATAATTTAAAAAATACAATACTGTATTTAAATCAAACTTTCTATACGTTCATTGCATTTTAATGATCATAATCTTTTTTTGTTATTGTGGAAGTATATTCCCTGAAAGGGCCCTTCAGGTGTCCTGGGTATGGTTATGCAAGTGGATGGGAATTCAACGAAGGATTGGGATTGAACGTTCGCTGTTGTGAGGACCCAGGTAAAATATACAAATTGTTCATCTTCAAGTACTGTCTTTTTTATCCAGATAAGTTACTTTTAACGAGTAGAGTACATGAGTTGTTTAAACTTTAAAGCTTTGTTCAGAAGAAAATGTGGTGATCAAAAGATACGTTTTTTTTTAAAATCTAGAACATAATTAAAAATTAAAAAAGTCTTAAATTTCTGGTGGAATACTTATTCATAGAGTTCGTCAGCATGTTAAAGTAGACTAATAGTACAAAATTTTAAACTATGAACCATTGTGTTTTACATATCTTATTTAACCAATATAATTAAAGTTGGTGTAACTTTTTTTTTTTGAAGATATCAAGTACTCACAGAAAGACTGTAAAGTACATTTGAATAGTATTTTTGTATATGGTGGAGGCTACAGAGTGTATAAAGGGAAAGTCATGACTGGTTTCACAACCTTTGACAATGGGTTGGTATTGCTTCCCTAAATCTCATTATTAAAGTAGATTTTGACATGTTCGTCGTAATCGTGTCTTTTTCCCATTAGTATTCGTTATTCAATGTTATTTTTTTTTTAAATTGAAATTTTATGTTTTTGTCAAATCTGATAATCCTTATCGATTTAGAATGTCAGTATGTATGAATACAGTGCTTCATCCAAACTATATATTTGAGGGCCAATGATTGAAAAGAGAATGAGGTGTCAAAGATACAACAACCCGAGCAAAGAGCAGAAAACAGCCCAAGGCCACCAATGGGTCCTCATCGCAGCGAGAATATCCCGCAACCGGAGGTGGATTCCAGCTGTCCCCTAAACAATAATGTATACTTGTTCAGGAAAATGGTCGCCACAAGAAACTCCGACACATTCAAATGAACCAGAATATATAAAAAAAACCAAGACTAAGAAAATTCTTGACTAGGAACAGGCGCAAAAATGCTGCGAGGTTTAACATGTTTTGTGAAATCTTAACCTATATACATGATTATGAATACGTCAGAGATTATTTGCTCAAAATGGAATATAATCATTGTTGAAGATCGTACGGTGACCTATAGCTGCTCAAACAGTTTATTCCGCGTCATATAGGCTCTGTTGGATAATTGTCTCATTGACAATTATACTATATCAAATTCATTTATACAAACGCGTGATCATCAGACAGATTCATATCTATATTGAACAGATTGCAGCCTTCTCCTTCTAGTGAAACAACTCTGTTTTTTAAACCCGTGCGTTGAAATTGAATGAGCAGGAATTTGTTAAAAGTCTATGAAATATTGTGTAATAAATTAGACTTAGAAAAACCATTAAGATTATCTTGCTTCATTTTCCTAATTCGTTAGGTAAAAAGGACAGATAGTTGAGCATTAAATATGTATTAATTAGCTAGTTAAAAAAGAGAAACAATATACAAGGCTGCATAAGAAAAGATTATCAGACAACACCATGTAATAAAAAGTCGAAAGGAAAACCAACCAATACAAAAACATTACAAAGCGCAATTGATTCAATCTATTGAAATATTTGTAGGAAAACTTGGTACAACAATGAATGTTCATATCGTGCATGTCGAAGGTACTAAGAAAACCTGGTCTATGAAGAGGAAGTAATGTTATGTTCTCAAGTTTTCAATTCATGTGGTTATTTACAATACTGACTTCTTGAATAAAATGAATATATTAAGAAATATTGTTATTTCTGATATATCAATCAGCTTTGTGCCCATCTTAAAAGCTTTCCGTCCAAAAAATCCCATACAATTTCTTCATCAGAGTCTACTTATAATGGGAAAAAGCAAAATCAACTTATATAGCTGCATAACACTATATTAGGTTTGGCATTCGCACATTATTTGTTTACTATTTTACCAAAATGATATCAGTATTTTGATTTTGTTTATTATGAAAACCCATAACTAAACTGTTTATAGTTTGCTTTTTTTTAACTTATGTGTAGGTGTGTGTGTGTTTTTTTTTCATGTGGATTTGTGCATCTAACATAAGATTTTTGTTAACTTTCTAAATACTTGATGTAGAACTTGTTCGTCTTTTCGTCGTTTTTCTTTTTTGTTATGGTGGTGTTATTTTTTCTTCTCCTTTTGAGTTTTGAATGTCCGCTTTGTATTTTCCGCCTCTTGTATACACTTATAGAGGCCGAGTTTCTACAGACAGGTTTTTGTGGTCTTTGATCTTTGATACAACAATTCTTGAGTGATCTGTTAGTTTACCGATTGCATGTGTCATAATCACAAGTATGAAATAAAAAAGGCGCCAAAATGAAAACCATAGAAATGACAAATGTTTAATGTCTGTCTCGAGTAATGTTTGACTTTTGAAAATAATTCAAACTAACTTTTCATCCCCCCAGGTAACTTTTCACATGTTCGTCAAGCACAGAGAAAGAATCTCTCTGGCATTATTCAGCTGACCTTAACAAAAGTAAAGGTTTATTGGTAAAAGTAAACTATTGATTCATGGTCCGTTGTTCTGATATTTTAAATAACAGGTCAACCTTATTTTGTGTATTGAATGATGCAAGTTTTACATGTCTATCTTGAAGTGCTACCCTGACCGTGATATCAAATTAATGGTTCTATTTGCAACGTCAAGTTTTTGTGGTTAGCTTGGTTTCTTATGTGATAAAATTAAAACTGTATTGATGTAAAAAAAAATTGCTTCTCATGCCAACGCTTAAAGTATAGGACTCATCAGACCTTGATTTTCTTTGATTCAATGGTGAATGTTTCCGCAATAAATTTAGTTTCTTTGATACATTAAGAAATCATTTAACTATATTTGAAGCATAGAAAGGGTATATTTAAACATTTCTCTTTCTGACACGGTTCATCTGTTCTTGGTGTCATTTTCATGGCCATTGGATAACGTAAAGATTTCATGACAAGGCATTTTTTTTCCAGATACTATATACATATTTATTTTTATAAGTCAACCTGATACTGCATCTATTACAACATATTTTAGAACAATATTTACATATCAGTGAGCCTTCAAAGACTTTGATGCACTGCTATTGAACTCAATCACAGTAATTACATGTGCAATAAAAAAGTTTAAAAAAGATATTTAACGTTATTTTTCAAAGCTATAATTCAAATAAGCATTAATAGTTTTATTATTTTTGTTATATCAATTATGTATCTGTACTATAAGCAACAAGTCTACTGAATGTGGTGTATAGAATGATTATTATAAGGTAAATGTCAATTTGATAGGACTCATCAGACTTTTGTGTGACGTCATATACATGTTTTCCGTGTCAAATTTTACATAAATAGTATTTTTTTTGTATTCATGATTGGATTGTGAATAATATAGTATTATCAATATTGTTATATGTGGAGTAAAACGGAACAGCCAAAACAGTATCATGTGCAAAGGGCTTTCACTTTTAACAAAATTACCGCATTTGTCCTATTATAATCGAAATAATTCATGGCAGCCCTAGTTAGGGAAAAAATAATCGAATATAAATGCCCAACGCATTGTTAATTGTAAACAAATCTACGGACACCATGAATATTTTCTTAATTAGCAATGTAGATAGTTTTTGATTATTTACTTATTATTATTTATCTAGTCAACGCTCTATCTTATTAAATGTCACTCTAAAATTGTTATCATTGCTTGAGGTCGATCAACTTGCATCTCTCCGCGAATATGCATGACATACTTTCCACTGGACATTAAGGGAGCAATCAATTAATCAGCTTCATTTAGTTATGTCTTATCAGTTAATATTTGTCTCAAACAGTTTTCCAATTTTTATATATTTGGCTTTGATTTATTACTGATTTTTAAGCGTAAATTTTAGCATTTCTTTCCTCATTTTCTCTTTGCATTTAATTTATTTTAACATTAAATAAAGTAGTCAATATCAGGGGTTACATTGTATACAATCCAGCCAAACAAGGAGGAGCGGAGTAGAACAGAAAAAAAATATAAGTGGTAGCAGTAAATCATATATTGAAGCGCACAACGACGGTAGTGTCGTCTAGATGACACAATTTGCTGTTTCGAGTTGTTTTTATTTCTGGTATAGTTGGAATAAAAGTGAAAATGGATAAAAAAAAAGTTGGCAACAATCTATATAAGGATTCAACTCGTTTTGGCCGTTTCATTTATTTTTTATATATTGTCTTACTGATCGGTTTTGTTATTAAAAAAAAGAATTTTCATCTTCATTTTTTTTTGCAAAAAGAGCAAACATGTGTTAAATTCAGCCATGCGACGTATTTGAAGATTTAGCTGGCTTTTGTTGTTGTTTTGAGCTTTCCATCATTTAACTTGTGTGTAAATCGTATTTCGCCTCAAAGAGTTATTCAAATAGTTGTATAGATAGAGTGAAACCCTCACTTCACCAGGCATCGGATATACCACACTCCTATTTCGACCGGATGATGATGATGATGATGATGATGATGATGATGATGATGATGATGATGATGATGATGATGATGATGATGATGATGATGATGATGATGATGATGATGATGATGATGATGATGATGCTTTACGTCCAGCGGCAAATAAAAAATATGCATATTTAGGATGAGAACATGTTAATGTAATATCAATATTAACCCTGATGTGTACTAGACCGACAAGCTGAATCAGATTCGTAACGTGCTAGTTCACAAGGTGATAGCCCGCAGGAAGACATGTCACCTTACCCGCACACATTATTCTGATTCCGAGCCGACCAGTCTTTGCTTTTACTCTTTAATGCCGCGGAGATGGAGCAAATACCAATTTTAATGTCTTTGGTTTAACCCTGCCAGGGTTCGAACCCCCAACCTCCTGCACTCGAGACGAACACGCTACCACGAGACCACCGAGGCGGTCCTTTGGTTTTGAATAAAAGGAGAAAAAGGTATACATTATTGCGACAGAAACCCAATGACACAGACAATTCAAAACATTAAGAGTCAACATACAGTATTTTGTAATAGAAAGATGCCTATGCAGTATGATAAGCTCAACACCGCCCCATGACTAATAAAACGGAGTTAATTTAATGATATTTACCGTCAAAGATATCCCAACAGGCACATTTGATTCAATAGTATGTACCGTCAAAGATATCCCAACAGGCACATTGGGTTCAATATCATTTACCGTCAAAGATATCCCAACAGGCGCAAGTATTTGGTTGAAAATTATCACCTGCCCTTTTTTAATTTCGGTCGGTGGTAAAGAAGGTGTAATATAAACCAGTAGAAGAAAAACACTTCACTGTATATTAACGGTAAATCAAATAAACAATGATAATGGATGACGCCCAGTGGCATATCAAATGCATATTCAGGACGATAACATGTAAATGTAATATTAATATTAACCCAGATTTGTAATAGACCGACACGCTGAGCCGGATTTGTAACGTATAAGTTCACAAGCTAACAGTTCGCAAGGAGAAAAGACACCTTACCAGCACACATTTCTGACTCCGAGCCGGCCAGTCTGTGCTTTTACTCTTAAATGCCGCGTGTTTAGCATTGAAACAGCAAATACCAATTTTAACGTCTTTGTTTGACCCGGTCGGGATTTGAACCAACAACCTCCCGCTCTCGAGGCGAACAAACTCCCACGAAACCAAACAGGAGAGCGGTAGTATACAATATCATACTAAAAACTCCAAGTACAATAAACAATACAGTTTCACAGAATGCTAACAGTTACTTAAGCGAGCAAAAAGTATCTAATCTGAATTAGATGTGTTAAATGATTTTGGAAACTACACGTAAATATATACTTCAGGGTATATTTCATAGACCAACGCTTTCTTCAGATTAAAAACTGTTGGACCAATTATTTGAGGGGTCCGGTGTGTCCAGCTGTTGCAAGGCTAAATTTCTGTCATTATTCAATATACCCTTATTTTCCAGTGGTACTCCAAGTTTCACGTCCAACCTCACTGCCGACCTCCTATTGCAAGACCTGTCTAATGTATTTAAAATTTATGTGTTCTCGTCATGAATATGTATGAAATCTTTGCCATTGGACGTTAAGCAAACAACAGTCAAAATTGTTTAAGTTTTATTTTTTTGGGTTATTTCTTTTTTGCAATTTACTACATAACTGAACACTAATTAATTTCTTTTAAATATGCTTTTACTATGGTTCTTTTTAATGTTTCATAACGATTTATAATGTATAATAATATCAGGCGAATATAAAACTAAGAAAGGTAAAAGGTATTTTTCAAGTTGTTTGCTTCATTTAGACGTGAAAAGGGAATGACGGACGACTAAAATAAAAGTGTTCATTTTCATATAATTATACATTGTATTTCAATTTAAAAGGGATGATCTTCCTTACGAAAATATCTCATCTATATACGATTGATCTAGCCACTCAAACCTACATAACTTGGTGCTAAAGATGTAACAGTTATGCTATTTAACATGATTTTATTCATAGAAGTTTACGGGCATAGTTTTTATTTTAAAAAAACCCGAACAAAACAAGATTTATAAATTAATTGGACTGAACAGACAACACTTTAGTGTTATTTTTTTTCATTTGCGTGTAACGTAGTGTTGGAAGCACAGAATCAAAACCAAAATGAACATTTACCTGAATATTGTGAAGGACCTTATGCATCTAGGTCTGTTCGATTAGAAGTTGTGAAACAAGCTGTTTAAATAACTAATTGTTGGAAGAGTTAAACTTACTTACTGTTTTCATATGGTATGGTCTTTACGAATCTATTTCATGATTACTGACAGATTAAAAACATCAAATATATATAACAAGAAGTTGTTGTGGAGAACATTCATTGGTCAGTTGTAAATGAGGTATGTACAGGGTTTTGATTTACTCATTTATCAAATAAAAAATCGTTATTTTGTAAAGTTGGAATTTATGAAAATATAAATTTATCCCTTAATTTTATACAACTATCATATGGTATTATTTTAATGCTAAACAATTATAATGTATACATAATTAAATGATATACTGCCATTTAATATCGTGCAATTCAGGGGAATTAGGCTTCTGCAAGTGTTTTTTGTGTTCTTTTCTCTTGTTTTTGACGGTTTGTAAGTCAGTAAAAATTCAATGATTAAGTTAATATTGACACTAAAAGACCTCCTCACAAATTGGGCTGTTTAAATCTCCTCGCCCTTCGGCCTCGTTGATCTCCACATCCCTTTTTGTTCGAAGGTCTTTTAATATCAATATTAACTTATCATTGACCTTTTACTATTACTAAAAACACAGGGTGATAATAAGTTAAGACTTCATCAAATATTTACGGATGTTTCCAAAACATATATCTTTAATTATTAAATGAGCTAAACGGTAACTATTTTCTATGTTAGTTTCAATGAATATAGTAAGAGATAGAAAGAGGCAGATATACAGGGATTGGGTGAAGTATTTATTCTACAAATTATGAAACATTGAAACTGAGTATGAACATTTGTTTTCTGAAAGACCTGGTTTGAAAATGCAACATTTAATCATATTATAATAAAACCTTTGGAAATAGCCCCAAAAAATCTAAACATATATAGTTATTGGCAACTAAATGTGATTTTATAATCAAAATCTTTTGTTTACTATGAGGGTCTTCATGGGGATACTTTATTTATGAATTCCGTAATTTTTGGCCTATTTTATCAATGTTGTTTTAAATTTTTTGCCGTTAATACTGTAGTTACCCCATTATTCTCCATTGTGAACACCCAATGTAAACCCTTTATTAGTGTTCTAACTTCTCATCAGGAATATAGAATGAAATTAAGTGTCTGGTAGCTTAGTCGTCTACATAATCATACCTTTTGTTAATTTATATACATAATTGTATATGTGTATTCAGATTATAGATATTTCACTTGTTTAATCGACAAATTAACCAATATTTAATATAATAAACGTATTGTATTTCAACTTGACTGCACTGCTCATTCATAAACGTCATAACTTCAAATTCTATTCAATACTATCAGACTGTATCAAGATTCAAACAGTTGAAGGGACATAATTGTATTTTGTCATTTTTGAAAGTTATATCACGTGACAATACTTCCTGGTTACATTTCTGTCAACACACTGATGTTAAGCTTGGACAAATGATCTGCAGCATTTATTGTGCAATGTTTTTGTTGACAAACTGATTGTTAAAGTAAGTATTTAGCGGTTAATTAAGTACTTAACTAATATTCCCACATGAATGTTATAAATTATATAGTACTTTCGTTTTCTGATGAGAGAAAATATGCAAATAAAAAAAAATGTAGCTTACATCTGGAGAAACAGTTTAAGTTGTGCAGATGCGTTTTGAATATTTGTGTTTTATGATTGTATCCTATTTTAAGTATACATGATTTCTCATTTTAATTAAATGAGACAACTAAATCGCATCAAAACGTATCAGGAGCCAAACAGTCAAAGGGAAATAACAGTAGTTTGTCCTTTGTGAAAACCTTGGTGGTAATGTGTTGGATAATATTATTTAAAAAAATAATTTATCACGTGACAGTACTAAATTGTCTCACTACTGTCATCAAGCTGTTACAAAATTTACAAAAATAATCTTAAGTATTTGTTGTGACATACTTTGGTTGATAAACTAATTATTAAAGTAGGTATTTGTCGATTATCTAACTGACCAAAATAAAAGTTTTTATCAAATTTGTTCGTTTTCTGAAGAAATACTCTTAGATATACCGCTCAGAACTAGTGAAGCAGTTTACGTGGTTTCGATTTCTTGAAGTTATTTGTTTCGGTGTGTTTCTGTTTTTTTTAAGTAGACTGCAATTATCTTTTTATTCGAAAGGAACAATTAAGAAATGGATTACATTCAATAATAACTAACCCCTTTCCGGTTTTCTAATGTAAATAGATTTATTTGTTCTGGTTCTCATAGAATAAAAACATCAGCATAAATCTCTCTAGAGTCAGGAGGAAATAATTACAGAAACAAATATGCAACGGACCCGTTATTAGAGCAAATCTACTAAATCATATTGGTATGTATAGATACATAATTTATACTATCAAATACATTTTATAACAGGTGCGGAAATTTTGGATTAGTTTACGGTAATCAAACAATAACGACGCATAGATGGTGTCATTTTTGACCTAAAAGCATTGCACCACCTTATGCATTTGTTTGAATTGACTTGAAAAAAAAAATTTGGCTTAGTGTGGATTAATTCGGGTGGCTGTCTTCCTGACGTATTCTCGTAATATTGGTAATTCTGAAGTATTCTTTGTTTATCGTTTTTCTCTAAGCATCCTCTATAACCTGACGCACAGATGATTGCCATTTTTTTCTATCTTGTTTTTAACGATACACTGGATATAAAAATACCACTGAAAGTTCATTAACCTATCAAAACAGTTAGCCTCTTGTTTTCTAGGGATAAGATTGAGATTTTATTTTGTTGGCAATTATTTACCAACTATGCTATCCGACCAAATGCGTGAAAACAATCTTATAAGGCATGTGTTACATGTGTTAAGTACTTACCGAAAATTGATTTTCGTTCAACTTTACAACGTGAAACTTACAAAACTTGAAAATAACAACTCATCTAAATCAACCACAGTAACATTTTGAAACCACTTGTAGTGATTGCATGCGTAGATAGCTCCTAGTTTATCATTGTTATGGGGAAAATATATCTTTATAAGTTCACGCTAAGTTATCTAGCTAATTGTACTTTAAGAAGAAAGGTCTTGTACTAACAATTAATCGATTAAATTTTGTTCAAATATTTTATAAAACGTTCTACATTTGAAATTTTTGGTTCACTTGCCACCAGCGTACATCATATGTTTTCTGGTTAAACACTTCAACTGTATATACCGCCATACGCATACTTTTTATAAATTGGTGCTAGCCTAATACTAAAGCAGCAAATGTCAGGACAATATAAAGGAAACCACCAGTAGTAGATCAATGACACATTGCATGCAGAGGTATTAGCACTTACTTATAGAAATTATTTGGCTTTGCCCCCTCAGTCATTGCTCATTGACTTTGAATGTTTTGCATAGTTTACATGATACATATTATGATTAAGTCATTGATATTTGTTATGCAGTTGTATTATAATTTCCATGGATTTTTATGCTTCATTGACTTTGAAGTTTTTGCAAAGATTACAAAAGAGAGGCGATTGATGCCAAATGAACATTCAAACTCATAAGTCGAAAATAAACTGACATCTCCATGGCTAAAAAAGAAAAAGACAAACAAAATAGTACACAGAACACAACATAGAACAAAAGACTCAGCAACACGAACCGCACCAAAAACACGTGTGGCAGTCGTCGTGTTGCTCATGTAAGTACAAACCCGGTAATAAGTCTAAATCGAAAGGTCACATTCGCGGACAATTTTAGTGAGAAAACATCATCCATATAGCTGAAATAAAGTAAACAGATACTGATAACTTGTTTTATTTCTTCCTGTATGAAGTCAACCTCGTATGAATAAAGGAAGAAGACGACAAGAAGAGGGGCACAGTTGGTTCCCATGGAAATGCCGATTTTTTGTTGAAAAAAAACCTCCTCCAAACGTCACAAATATGTTGTCAATCAAGACATCAAGCATCTTGATAATGTCAGTTTCAGAGAATTTTTTAGTTTGAATCAGAGTGATGTTTTACAAAGTAGGCTTTATCCCTCGCGAAGGCAATATACTTGTATCTACGTTGGCCATTCTTTTTTATGAAACAAAGCAAAACAAACTTTTTCAATTTGTTTTTTTAGTTTGAAATGAGGTTTACTTGTGTAAAGTGTAGAAAAGCCAAATGTTTTAATACTATTGCAAGATAATAGAGTCTAAGATTGTATGTACTTTAAAAGATCTGGATCTGGATTTGGAATTTTCAGTATCCACATCTGATTCACCGCACTTCGAGAATAAGTTGTTTCAAACAATAACGTTTAAGCCCATATTTGATTGCTGATAAATTGATGTTAATAATTTTACAAGTTATGGTTGTGTTCAGGTTAGTTTAAAGGGAATAACATATTATGAGTCAATGGTATTTAGTATCCAGATTTAGAAGTATTGGCATTTCATATTTTCTATGTTAACTATTTGGTCCTGCACCTATAGTCATGGTACATTGACTTTAAATGTTTTGTATAGTTTACATGTTTTATATTCCTTACGAATTAAAACACAGATTACGTAAAATAAAACAAAATTATCTTTTATTTTTCAGTTTGATATGGCGTCATTCGTACCGATATGCGATATTTGTATGACAGATAACGTAACAAAACCTGCCTCCGTTTGGTGTTCCGAATGTGAAGAAGCTATTTGTGATGATTGCGAAAAACAACATGGTCGCATGGGATTAACAAAGAACCATAAAACAATACCAATAAAAGATTACCAGAAACTGCCTAGTTCCGTTGCTGCAATCAGACAGAAATGCATAGGTCACAGCTTAAAATTCGACTTTTATTGTGTAATTCACAACGAACCATGTTGTGTGTCTTGCGTAGCAGAGAAACATGGTACCAGTCAAAAATTGAAGCCATTATCGGAAGTAGTTAGAAGAGTGAAGTCGTCTGCTGCATTTTCAGATTTAGAAGAGAGGGCAAAAGACATGAGCGTACTAATTGGCAATCTGATAACGGAAAAACAAAATAATCGAGCAAGTTTTGGAGTTCAGAAAGATAACATCATTTCTGAAGTGCAATATGTTAGAACAACAATAAATAATCATTTAGCTAAACTCGAAAAGGATCTTTTGGATACATTGGACAACATGGAAAAACAACAAAACGGAAATATTGATAATTTTATTGAAAAGCTCTCGGAAATGAAAAAAAAAGTTGAAAACATATGTGGTGATTTGGAAAAAACTAAGCAACACGCGTCGAATTTCCATGCTTTCCTTGGTATACATGAATGGAATAAAAAAATCGATATAGAAGAAATAAATACAAAGTGACCAGATAATGAACACTTTTGATATTCACATAGAAATTTCGCCGATACTTAAAGAATTAGGGAAGTTAGAATTGAAGTCTTCGTCTTCAAACAAAATTCTTCTAAAGAAGGAGAAACAGGGACAGATTTTCGTTCCTGTTTCGAACACTGTAGATAACATTAAGTTGACAAATATCCGCTCTTTCAAGACACCTAAAGGAAAATCCAGTAACATATTAGTAACAGGTATCGATATGTTTAACGACGGGAGAATCGTGATGGCCGATCAATCGTTAAGAAACAGACTTGTTATCATTAATCAAGAAGACGAGTTTTTTAAGACCATACAACTTGAAGATCGATGTTATGATGTTGCAGTGATGGATAAAGACACAGTTGCTACAACATTATTTTTAAAGAATAACATTGTTATAGTTGACGTAAACTCATCGAAAGTACAAAGGACTATAGCTATAAAACACGGTTGCTATGGTATTATTAGTACAGGTGAACAATTAGTCGTCAGTCTCTGGAACAAGACCATTCAGTTCTTTGATCTTTCAGGTAATACCTTCTTCTCAACTTTGTCAACAGCCGATATCTCCATTCATTGTTCCGTGTTGAATGACAAACTTTATTATACTACACACAGTACTGATGCTGTCTACTCCTCTGATTTGAAAGGAGAAGTTCGTTGGAAATTTGACTGTCAGAAATCAGATTATCCCCTTGCTATAACCAACGATGCTTCTGGAAATATTTTCGTAGCGTGTTGGGATAGTAATCAATTGGTGGTAGTAGGACACGATGGGAAGGAATCAAGAGTCCTCTTGACAAAAGATGATGGATTGCAAAAATCTAGAGCAATACACTACAACTGTAAAACCAACACACTCGTTGTGTGTAATTTATTAGGACAATGCTTCCAATACAAAGTTACAAACTGAATATTTTGTTAATAATGCAGAGAATATAGCTTTTTCTCGTTTCTCGTTTTTTATATAGATTAGACCGTTGGTTTTCCCGTTTGAATGGTTTTACACTAGTAATTTTTGGGGCCCTTGATAGCTTACTGTCCGGTGTGAGCCAAGGCTCCGTGTTTAAGAACGTACTGTGACCTATAATGGTTTACTTTTATAAATTTTGACTTGGATGGAGAGTTGTCTCATTGGCACTCATACCACATCTTCTTATATCTATTTGTATACTATGTTGAATTATACAAATTTCAGACAAATAGCAGCATGACAAAATACTTATAAAATATGATTAGTTCTTGTTTTGCCTACTGGTGAAACAGGTATGAAGAAAAAAAAACTTACACCAAGTTCAAGTGCGTACATAAACAGCACATAAATAGTATAACTTAAAAAAAGATATAATGTAAGTTTAAAAATACAAACTTAAATCGCATTTTGAATCTAATATGATAATGATTTTTTTTTTTGAAAAATGGCTATTTTCTGCTTCAAATACGGTTTGAGGCTTTAAATTAAAAATTGTAAACACAATTGAAACTAGTACTGTAATATATTTATAAAAGTTTTGTAAACCTTCAACATCAAGTGAAACTGCGAGCTACTGCTCACTGATGATACCCCCGCCGCAAATGGGTAATTTTAATAGTGTACAAATATGTAAGTGTTCGGTAAACAGGAAGTTGTTGAGTAATGAATCTGAAAACGCATCGCACGGTATAAGCTGACTTATATAAACCCTGAAACAAATTTCAGAGATCCTTGTACTGTAGTTCCTGCGAAAAATGTGACGAAAATTTTCAACTTGGCTATCATGTGTAAAATGATACAAGTGTTCAGTAAACAGGAAATTGTTGAGTGATGAATCTGAAAACGCATCACACGGTATAGCTGACTTATATTAACCCTGAAATCAAATTTAAGTAATCCTTGTCATGTAGTTCCTGAGAAAGATGCGACGAAAAATATTCATGGGAGGGACGGACGGACTGACGGACTGAAGGACTGACGGATGGACGGACAGACAGACAGAGGTAAAAGAGTATACTCCAACTTGTTTAAAGCTGGGGTATAATAAAGTATAACAAATCGAGATTATTACGGTAGCCATTGTTATGTCCCACTATTTGTTATTGCTATATGATTGTTGACAGTCTTTGTCAGACCTACTTTTCCAAAAGTTCCCTTTAGTTAGCTGTATAAAAGATGTACTTTATTATATACAGAAGGGGTCATATCTAAATATTACAACAGTCATTTGATTTCATTTAGATTCATTAAAATAACAACGGTGCACAAGCTGAAATGACTAGAATGCTTAATTGAGTATTGTAAGCCGAAAGTTTTCAGGATCGAGGTCTTACCAATGATATCATATACAATCAATATCTTCGGCATTTCCTCTTCTTGTCTCTTCCTAAAATTTGATATAATTCACATATGACTTTGTGTTGTGAAATGTGCTAGACCGGCAGTTGAAACGTTGACCCGCACTGAACACCGACATCATATGGTTTGTCATGACGTTGATAACTTTAACTTCAACCTATCTCGGACATTCTACGTATTCGCTGAAAAAAAATCCTGTTGTTTCTATAATGAAGAACACCCATATTGATATTGTAAAATACCAGATGTTCGACACGATGCAAACATGAATCCATTTTGAAGTTGTTCCCTACGTACACCTAATAAATGATTCATATTTTGAGTAACAGCTGATATTTAATAGTAGCAATGTACAATAAACCCAAAAATACGTTCTGAACATTGTATATTCAAGTTTGCTCCTGACACGTTAAATCCACTCTGTTCAATCCGTTGAATAAATTTCCCCAAGATAGCATTCAAAGATGCGCGACAAGATTAACGCCCGACGTCCCTTAGTTTGTCTGTTATGCGGCCATAATACATGTAACTACTAATTGGTTAGAGTGTTAAGAAGAAGAATGGCATCTCAAAGAACGAAGGAAGTGTACAAAGTTAATGCTACATAAGAAATACAAACAAAGAATTATCATTATTATTTATTTTCCCGTGATATGATACTTTAAAGACAAACAGTTTTTCTTTTTGAAAAGTCAAAACCATTGATATAGCCCATTTCAATGCAATTGTAAATAGCTAACAAAAAAAGGAGATACAGAAATACTGTATCTTTATTAGAACGCCCATACCTCAAAAATTGAAAGACAAGGATGTAAAACTACCTAAACATGTGCAAATCGATCTGACCAAAAGAGACGTAAAAGAATAACAAAATCAACCCAAAAGTGAACTTTGCCTTGTGGGAGTTGGAATCAAAGTTTTACCAAACCATGATTTAAGACTTTTATACTACAAAATCTTTTGCAGTTGCCAAACTTATATACATTATTCTTGCACGCCTAATTCGATTTGCAAACATCCGACGCTGTCATGTGTATTCATAAAGTAGCATAAAGAATACATGTAAAAATGGTGCATCAGGAGCGTGTTTTGAGTTATGAATTACAAACAAAACAATATAATCCCAGAAAATACCTGGTTGACACACTTATTATATGTATATCTCGTGATATTCTTGGTAAAGATTGCCCTGACACAGAAACACCCCTTTTGTAGAATATAGTTTATTTAAATTAACTGTTCAAGATACTGAGGAACTATTTGAAGGCTTGTATGAATATATATATATATATATATATATTGTGTCTATCTATTTCAAATTGTTTAAAGCAACGTTACACTGTTTAGAAATAGATCATTATGATATTGTTGATGGCATTCGAATCTGTATATATAGAAGTACGCCTAAACAAGTGACAACTCTACGACAGATGGATCCATTGGATTACCAGTGAAGGTGATACATTGCTGTATTTGGTTAATAATTGTGTGGTTTGTAGTTTAGGTTTTATATATTGAATTTTATAACTAGGAATAGAAATAAAGTGTCACGTTTCGTTAAACAGTTAAAAATAAATATTCTAGATCATGCAAATGTTACTTTCCTCATTGACGGTATTTTTTTTTTGCTCTGATGTAAACTATGTTATAACAGTTTGTTATATCTTTTACCCTTGGCCTTCATTATCTCATAGATATCTGATTGTTGTTTTTCTGGGTCTTGCATATTTTGTTTTATAAAAGGTGATGGTTAGCAGTAAAACAAGACGTTGATAAATGATCGAAGTAGTTCAACAACTGTATCACTTACCTTTTAACGCTGAGATTAGGATTTCAAAACCCGCACATGACAGGTGCGTTCGATTCACATCTGAATTGGTTTGTTGCTTCTTCTCTACGGGCAATTTACTCTGGATTCATCGGCGAAAATAAAACAGATATAGCCTGTAGTGCTGAAAGTGGTACTAAACAAAATTGAAGAAACAATAATGTTGCTGATGTTTTATAAACGAACCACTAGGTATAAAATGATGGTTAATGTTCATTATCAGATCAATAAAATTGAGAATGGAAATAGGGAATGTGTCAAAAACTGTTACATACTGTACTTTAGCAAAAATTAACAAATATTATAGTGTTATTAAGTGGCTGTTTCTGTATTGGCCCTGTTATAGATTCGAGTTGAGCTGTATTGCACCCGAGACTCGAAGAGTCGAGGGTCAATACAGCTGATCGAGAATCTATAACAGGGCCAATACACACACAGCCAGTTCATTACACTTTTATTAAATGATTTTAATTCTTCAATGAAACTAAGCAACTTACCTTAAAGTACAAGAAGATACAGAAATTCCTATATGAACTTGTCTTTTCGCAATTTCACGATGGATTTTTGTCAACATTGTCAGATGTAATTTCTGATTTCTCGTCCAAGTACTTAATCTTATGCTATTACAATTCATTTTATTTAGCAAATATAAAGTAGCTGGGAAGAATAAATCAGACAGTTTAACTATTCTTGCTCTAGAATCGCCTGCGTTCTGATGATTGATCAACGGAAAAGAAACAGTAAAAATAATCTGAAGTCGTACTCGAAAAGGCTGAGAAATATTTCCGTTTCAGGACGTTACAATACAATGAACATCATTTAAACTTTTTTTATGATATTAAGTTCAAATATATGAATACAAATGTATTTTATGCATAACGATACGTCCAAAGTTAACTGTTCAGTAAGCTTAGGCGTAAGAAAATTGAAACCGGAAGTGAACGTCCCATATAAGCCCATGGGCTTATACGGGGGCCAATACGGCTTTTTCCGTATTGGCCCTGTTCGAAAACCAATATTAACTCCGGATTTATATCGACAGGACAACGTCACCAGTATTGAACATGCTGATTTATCCATATTAGGGCTGATTTGCTCATATCATTTAATAATCTACGATATTGCTAAAATTCGAACATACAGAAACCACTTACGTCAAACAATACCTACTTAAGTGGTGGAACCTTCAACTGATACAAGAACAAAAAAACTTAGTAAATTTAACTAAATATATCGGTAAACTGAATTTTAAATTATAAGTTAAAAAAATATTCACAGAATTTTTTCAAATTTTCATGAAATGTACTTAATATTGTACCTCTATTCCTAATTCTGTCAATACTAGCATTCTTCATACGTTTCATGACTTGCTATATTATCATATACTGAATATAAAGAGTAATTAATAAAGTTTCCCTTTATAATCTGCAATGTCAAATGATCTGATGCTGTTTGGAAGTGTCGTTTACATTTTTTGATGATTTGGTAACCCTTTTCATTGTGTATAAAGTCTAACAATACATATAAAGGTACTGCCAATGCATGCGAGATTCATAAAACTTGGAGTTGAATATGATTGCCAGTGAGACAACTACCCATAGACCATGACCAAAGAACAAAGACTTAAGCAATAGATTACAGGTCATCCTTTAAGTTCAACAATCCATATGCCTGGTTCGGGTTGAAACATATATGATACCTAACAAAAACATGAGAAGCGAAGGAAGCAGTTAATCGAAAAACTGATACAATGTTACATAGGTATGAGGTCGACTAGAAATGAGCTATGTAATA